TTAAGGGTTACTGGATGCTACACACTTGAGGCTTGAGCGACTGTGCCCCAGTTCACTTGGTGAGCATGGACACCTGTGGTCAGGGAGAAGTTATTCAGTGTTCCAGTAGCAGTGGCCATATCATTCTGCTCATTGCTCTTTGGGCTCCCTTAGTGAAATTTGGAAATACAGTAATGTGTTCTTTGTCCTTCCCTCCTAACCTCCAATGCCAGGAACTCAAAGTCTGGGACAACAACAAGTCTTGTGCTAAGGAGCTCATCAGTGTTTGGGCAGGAGCTGTGACGATGACCACAGGAGTTCATATCTACTTTCACTGCCTTCCCAGGCCTTTGACCATTACAGGTTTAGGCTTTTCATAAAAGGATCATGTTGTATGCAGGTACAAAACCAAAGGCCTGTTAACAGAGGGAACGCAGAGGGAATAAGAGCCAGTAGATCAGGAAGGACCTTAGAAAATAAGCTCTAAGTGTTGGTCTTTACTCTTTGGTGTGACCCTGGTATTATCCTTGGGTCTGCTGCTTCTCCACTTTTCATAAAGGTGACTGAGATTGCCCAGTTGTTCAGGTTAGTCTTGATCTTGTATCTGGGAAAGACGAAAATATGGCTTGTGGTTCTTAAGAATCACATTGGGAAGGCATTGTGGAAAAATAGGAAGCAGAATGGAGAGGTGGGAAAAAACTCATGGAAACTCCCTCTGGCTTTCTATCTGCTCAGTGCTACACAAAATGCAAACGGAGGCTGGGAGCTGGCAAGCCTTTGTGCTGCCATCCTCCCGCACGTCATATGCCTCGGTGCAGCGCCCCTCTTCTGTGAGGGCTGACTTTTCTCATCCACTGAGAAGCACTGTTTTCTCCCTTCTGGGTTCCTCAGTGGTTTTGTTGCCCTGCATAGGATCTGTTAATACCATACCTTTCTCACCCCAAGCCTGTCAAATTCCTTTAAGCAGGAACCTGCTCCCTCACTTCTTTGACGGCAGCCCAGTACAGCACTTGTATGCTAGAGTTTGGATCTGGAATGTTCCCCAAAGGCATCTGTGTCACAGGCTTCTTCCTCAACTTGGTACTATGGGAGGGAGGTATGGAACCTTGAAGGAGTGGAGCCTAGCAGAAGGACTTCATGTCATTATGAGCTTGCCTTTGAAGAACACACTGGGTGCCCAGCCCCTTCCTCTCTCATTGCTTCCCTGCCACTGTTAGGTGAATGGGCCTCTGACACCACACACTCTCACCGTGAGGTCTGTGCCACATCACACGCCCAAAGTAGCAGGGCCAACTGACCACGGACTGAAATGTCTGAAACTGAGCCCAAATACTGCTTTTCCTTTATTAAGTTATCTCAAGTATAGTGTCACTGTGACAGAAAACTAATACTTTGTGCATAGCTGTACTCAGAATTGAGAAAAAAACAAACAAACAAACAAACCTGAAAAGCCCCTTCTGGTTTCTCCCATCTTGTTGACTTTGATGTTTAAAATATTTTTTTCTGCTGGGTTCTCTAAATTAAATTTAAATTGAGATTTCTGTGGAAGGCAGTTGTGCAGTAGAAGAGGCTTCAGCCAATGCATTTGTCACGTTTCTAAGTCCAAGTAATCAGCAGAGCCCTAGCGCTACGAGGAGAATGTTGGTGCCAAGCTCTGTCACTTTCCTGACCTCAGTGTCTCAAAAGATCTAAACTGTGGTCTCCGAGACAAAGACTGGGCTTCACCACTCTCAGTGGCTGGCTCTTAGCCCATACCCAGTAAATGTCTGCTGGGTGAACTTGTCTGATATAACTGAAGGCGTCAGTTTGTAGACACTTCAAGTAGCTTCTAACGTGCAACTTGGCTCAGTTTTTTTGTTGCTTTCCTAGCATGATGGGGATACTATTAAGTTGAGACGATTCATTAGTCATTGCCAGAACAGTTTTATTGGGCTGACAATTACCATGTATTTAACTTCTCAGATCCCCATAGCACTTTATTGCTGATTATTGTTCTACTAATCCATTCAACAGTGATAGAGTTGCATTCAGTTTAGCAAGGGCCAATCTATACAGCTAGCTGCGTGCCCAGTGAGCGCCCAGTTAAAACTCCCACAGAGGCCCTCTCAGACGACACCAGGACCTTTAATTATGTGCTACTAATAGGGATCATACAGATTTCCTTTGACATTTTCACTCAGCAAGTATTGTAGACATCTGTGATTACCATTGTGTAGAAAAGTTACTAGTGCAGGAATAATTAAGAAAGCTTTCAAAGACCAGCATCCAGGAAATGAGTGAGTTTAGAAAAGAAAGGGAAGATGACTGACAGATTTCTAGGGCTCTTATGTTTATATATATCCTCAACAGAAACCACTTATTTAAAGAGTATTTTTTCTGTCTTTATCTCCTTAAGAGAACATTATAAATTCATCTGATCTAAACATTCATATGTAGAGAAATATGTATGTATATAATAAAAAATATAATTGTAAGCCAAGTTTGTGTTGTTACAAAGTGTTATACATGCCACTCCGTGAAATTAAAACTTTGGATCTATATGGTGATGGTTTCAAGCTCTATTAGCAGGAAAAAGCATTTCTTCTGGTAGGATGGAAGGTTACGTGAAACCCCAAAATATAAGATACACCAAAGAAGCATGTTTTGCGTTGAATCCAGAGCTTCTCTTCCCACAACCACACTCTGTAGCTCCCTCATCCCCACATGCTGTCTCAGCAGAAGCACCTCTCTGGGACTCATGGGCTCTGCACAGTTTGAAGCTGTTGCCTTTTTTTTTTTTTTTGTGCTCATGCTGAGGATTGAGCTCATCCATGCCAGGCAACTGTTGCACCTCCTGACCTACATTCCCATGCCTTTTAAAATTTTACTCTGTGCCAGTTTTGTGTCAAGTTTCTCAGCCTGGCCATGAACTTGTAGTCCTATTGCAGCCTCCTGAGTAGCTGGGATTACAAGCTTGTGCCACCACATCTGGCTGTGGTGGTACTGAGCAGAGTTTAAGGAATCTCTAGTATGAAAACAGACTCCCTTTCTTCCCTGAAAAGACAACCAGGTAAACCTTTAGTTACCTCTCTGGCCTAACTCTATTTGATAGATGTGGTAATGGCAGACAGATATTTTAAAACATTCCATTCATTTAATCCTCACTTTGATACTAAGGGAGTCTTCAGGAAACATGGTTCTTAGGAAAATTCCAGCAGACAACAAGTAGAAAGTAAATGTGGATATCAGCATTTGTTATCAGGCCAGCATTCAAGAACAATTTAACACCTCCAAAACACAAGACACACTGTGCGACATCTTTATTATGAGACATCTTTGCTTGGTGTTTTAGAAGAAGTGATCAATTCTAACAATAATTCTTACAAAATATTTTACGTAAGGGAATTATTCAATAAATAGTTGAAGCATAAATTAAACATAGTTTATAAAATCTCTGATTTTTTGATTTCTAGGCAGCCACTATAAAATTTAACCGTATAGCACAACTTAGTAGAGCAGTTATGTTTTGGGAATTTGTATAGTGGAAAAGGCACAGGATAAGATGTCTTACCATTGGAGGTACCATCTTGCCTTGGAATAAGTGAGTTGATACGATATCAAAGCTCAGAAAGGCTAACTTATTTTCCCAGGTTCCTCATCTGTTAAATGAGGAGGTTTAACTGGATGATCTAAGGTCCTTTTCAACTGACATTCTTGATCTATGCTGTTGTCAGGATGTCACTGCCTGTGACACACGTAGGTGAACCCACTGGAGAGACCGGCTGTGATTTGTGCTGCCCCACTCTCTCTTCTGATCACTAGACCCTTTCCCGCCTTACCAGCCACAACTGTGCCCTGCAAATTATGCTGACATGTGAATCTTACTTGGCACAGAAATAGGTTTCTGTGCTCTGAATGAGGGCCCTCTGCAGGTCACCTATGCGGCTGCATTTTAGGCTTGGTCATTAGCAGCTGGATTTCTATTATATTCCCTATAGTTGGATTCTGCACATCAGGATGATTTATTGACTCCTTTTGTTAGTCAGGAATCTATATTTTGTGTCATCATTTGTATCATCAAATATATGCATTATGAGAAAAATAGAATGAATCACACTTGGCACTTTTTAACACCATAATTATTTTTTAAAAATAAATGGTTAGAATGTAGTGTTTGTATCCATAGCATCTTACTTAGCTATAAGTCACTTTTTTGTCCTTGAATTTTCCTGATTCAGAACCTTCAGCAGAATGTATGCATGTGTCCCTAATTGCACATGTATTTACTCTGGTTTCATTTCTTTCTGTTGTAAGCGTCACTTCTCTGTATCGAAACTCTAAGAAGGCACATGGATCCAATTGCAGATATTTGTTTGAGAGATTTTTTTGAAAGGCATGAATCTAATTGTGAAGGTACCCTTTAGTGGTTGAACTTAAACATCAGTGTCAATAAAAATCACAGAAGATTTTTGTCAAATACATATTGGAGGCCTATTCCCAGGGATTCTGACCTAATAGGTCTAGGTGGATCCCTGGAATCTGCATTTTTATCACTAACCTCAGGTGATTCTGATGCAAAAGGACATAGTGCTCCAGGCGTCATATAATGGCTCCTAGGATGGTTGCATTGCTGCATGGTGATGACCCACTACTGGATATTCTCCACATGGCTCAGTTCCTTCCTTTTGTCTTCAGCCTGCGGATTGCATTCAGGTATCTCTTAGGCTAATATATCAGTCAATGCTCACTAGAGAAACAAATTTAATGGAAGATAGGTAGGCTTTCAATGGCCATCTGCAGAGTCAGGTGTTTGGAAGAATGCAAAAGGGCCGTCTGCACGGTGGAGATCTGAAGGAACCAGTCAAAAATCAAAAGGCTTGGAACTTACTGTAGAGCCCCATGTGAGTCCACACCAGGAAGCTGAAAGGCCTGTGCTGGAATCCAGGACATGGAAGTCCAAGATGAAGGCAAAGACGGGCTCTCCTCTGAAGAAACTAGAAGTAAACTTTCTTCCTTCTTTCCTTTTTTTTTATTCCATTCAGGCTGCAAGCCTATTGGTTGGTACCACCTACACCCAGAGCAGGTCATCAGTCTGCGGTAAGTCCATTCAGTAACAACCAGAACTATGCTAAGCCAGTCAATTGGGTGTTTCCTACTCAAGTTGACACAACAGTTAACTATCACAGATAGATATTTTTTGTTTTTCATAGAAAGGCTTCACTTCAGGGAAGTAACCCTCTGTTTTGTAGGTGACTTTTACGTATGCTAAAATTTGAGAACCACTTCTGAAAAGGAATATTTTAGTTGGATAAAGCTTTAATACATTTACTAACCAAATGTTTGTAATAAAAAAATGTGGAATTCAGTGATTGGACTTAGAAAAGTAACATTCTGGACAGAACATTTATATAAGAATAAATAGATATAATACTGGAAGGGAAGCCATATAACATTCAAAGAAAAGACATCACAAATTTAATAAATGCCTCTAGGGGCTTCTTATGCATTGAACGGTTTCTTCACTCTCTGCAACTCACTTATTCTCCTTTCTAGGGCAGGTGCTCAGAAATATTCTCTTTGGACTTCTCTACTGAAGTGGCTCTCCTTACCTCCTGTCATTGTTAATTGTGATATATCCACTTGACTTCAGTAAGAACTGCCTAGCAAATCAGTAAGTTCTGTTCTGGGTGTGTGCATGGGTGACTGAGATGAAGGCTAGCAAATTGATGGGGGAAGACCCACCCCAGATGTGGGTGCCACCAACCGATAAGTTTGTAGCTTCGAAAGAATAAAAAAGGAAAAAAGAAGGAAGAGGTTCCCCCTTTGTGGAGAAGTTCTGCTCTTCACCATTCCCTTTGGACACTGATCTCCAGTTCCTTCTGCCTTTTGTGGTAGAATTTTCAGCTTTTCAGTGCAGTATCTGGTCTTTTGACAGAGACTCACCCAGCTGACTCTACAGTGAGTTTCCAGGCCGGCAAACTGCAGCTGCTTCAGGCTCCTGTGGCTCTCCAGTGTACAGGCAGCCATTTTGGATTCTTTCACCTCTGACCCCACAGATGTCCCTTGGGACTCTTCCACTTCCCACATGTAATCCTCCCTAATAAATCCCTTGGTATAATTATACATGTCTTTTATATTGATCCTGTTCCTTCAGAGAGCACAAACTAGTACTCTTCTAATGAAGTCAGGGAGAACAAGCTAGGAAGTATATATGCAACTGTGGTCTCAGGCCATGCACATCAGAGCCTCTAAAAGTTTAACAACATGCAGATTTCTGGGTTTCACCTTAGTCGTAACAGAATAGAGGGGGTAAATCTTGGGAATAGGATCTGCATTTTTATGAAACTGAAGCTGATTATTATGCATGCTGAAGACAAGATGACAGCCTTGAAGTATACTATGATGCAGAACACTTTACCTTCTCTCCAAAACAAATAAGGTCTCAGAGGAGTTGTGAGAATGGAGTGTCCAAGATTCTAAAAACTACCAGAAGTTTTCAGTCTAGCTTGTTGCGTGAGCCTGGGCAAGTGTCTGAATGTGGAACACAAAGCCAATGATTCTTAGAATTGGTAGCCAGTTCTGTGCTGAAAAATGCTGCTTACATCTTTCTATTTACAAACAAGACAGCTTTATAATGTGAGCTGATTTTAGGTAATTTGATTGTTTAGCAATATTTAGGTCCATTTGTTAAAATTCCAAACAATTCCTTGTATGCTCATTTTCTCCACATTTTTTCTATTAGGCAGTATTTTTTATTGAAATAGCTGTAGGCCAAATTCTGCCAAACCATCCCAATTTTATTGGTATAGAGATATCAAAATGGCTATAGAAACATTTGGTACTATTCTCTAACTTTCGGCATTTCTATAAATATCTTAAATGTGAGCCGAGGAAACACTACTCTGGTGACAACACATGAGCTTTCTGCTTGGATAAGAGGGTAGTTCTCTGTGAAATGAGAGTGACATGGCACCGGATACAATGCTAGATTGTTCCCTCAGATTAGGATACTGGGTTTGCTGATTTTATTCTTCTAGTAGAAGTAAGGCTGATGAAGCCATAACAGTCTATCTATATCCTCAATTCTAATTATTTCCCTTTATTTTATTAGAGAAGAGTGGTTTCAAATATTCTTTATGCTAGTAAGCAAGCCCTCTGGTTGATTTTGGTAAGCATATTTAAAATTGTTACTGAAATCCTCCAGAGTCGATTGTACTGATAAATGAATTTCAACTGTTAACTGCATGCCTTTAGACATCCACAGTCTAAATGGAGCAATTTGGAGTAAATTAGCATACAGCAGGTATTAGGACACAACTGTTCCTTTTTAGCTAGTAGGTATTGGTTTCAAAGCTCGGAAGCATCTTAACAATTCATATAAAGTCTTGAATTAAAAGTGGAATATGCTCGGTTTTCCAATCAAATTTTGGGTCTTATGTGTTTTATATATATGTAAAATCTGAAAGATCATTACTGGGGAAACAATAACCCCATTATCACCTGGTTCTTTTTTTTTTTCCCCCCATACCAGGAATCGAACTTAGGACATTGCACTTGCCAGGCAGGCACTGTGCTGCTGAGCTAAATCCCCAGCCCCAATAATTTCATTATCTATGCAGCTAATCTTTCCCCTTTTCCTGCAAGGGGGTAGCATCAGCCCCAGTTGAGAATCACTATCAAAACCCATAGTCTCAGACTCCTTCTATCTTTTGTGCTGTTAAAAATACTTTAGAGTCCATCAGGTTAAACTGAGCGCCTGAATGGCTGGGTACAGTCAGGACTGAAGCTGCTTAGCAACAGGGCCAGAAAGGGGAGCTCTGTCCTGAGCTCAGAGACCTGTGAGTTAGGTTTGAGTGGGGGCTGGGAGAGCGAGTTAGGGGAAGCGGGAGGTGGCCTTGGCCTTCAAAATGATTTGACAGCAGGGTTCCCTAGAGAGGCAAAAGAAGTGTGAAACCTCCGGTGTCAGGATGGTGGACAAGACTCAGTGGAGAAGGGCTGGGGGTGTAGCTCAGTGACGCAGCATCTGCCTGGCAAGTGTGAGGCCCTGAGTCTGATTCCCGGTATCAAAAAAAGGAAGTTGCGGGGAAAAAAAAGAAAAGACTTAATGGGGAAGTCTAGTATGGGATTTTATGTTTGTCATATAATACAGACTGCAATACATTCCTGCTGAGTGTTTTGTGTGTTTCTGATAGTTTGGGAGTGGGAAAGTTAAAATTCAGTGGAAGCATGCAATTAATATCAGAGGTGACTTTGAGAGTGTGTATCTTTTAGAACTGATACAAACATTAGTAAAAGTAGGGGACCGTCTATTGCATGGGGACTGGTGATTTGAGAAATATCTTGTTTATATTTTGAACTCATCTAGTGATCCCATTCTCAGGCTAAAACTAGTGATTTATTTCAGCAAATGTTTCTAGAGGGCCTATTATTTGCTCAGGTAGGTGCTGTGGGTGGCAACATTCTGTTTAACTGTTTGATACATCACTGACCATTGCCTTTGAAGCGGATCCATGGTCCTGGTCAAAACATTTGAGAAGGGATGGACTTGGAGCTGTACTTCTCAGCTTTGGTTGCAGAATGGAATCCCTGGGGGAAGTATTTAAAACTTTTGACCTACACACAAACACATATATTACTGGTAACCTTCATATTTATCTTTTTCAAGCTCCAGGTGGAAGTGAAAGAACTCTAAATTTCTTCTTGTTACTCCTGTTTTCAGGGAGGCACTGTTTCTAAAATATTACATTCTCTTTTGCACATTTGGGTAACAAGGCAACAGGGCTTCATTGCACAGATCTCAAGCCACAAGAAGTTATCATAACTGCAAGATCTCTCAGACTCAGGTGGTCTACTTATTTCTTACAGCCCTGATCTCTGTTACAGCAGCCTTACAGCCCAACGCAGTAATGTTGTCAGTGTCTTGAAATGCATTGCATGGGATTTGATGTGTGCGGTTCGGCTCTAATGATGAAGTCAGTCTCCTTGAAATATATTCAGAGAAACCAATAAAAGATTACAAATGACAGAAGAACACCACCTAAACCAAAGTCTAGTCATTCTTGCTATCTGTTCTGGAACAAAGATATTAACAATGTTTGAGTCTATCTAATTTTATATAAAGAGAGGACAATCATTTCTTTGTTGTTTCTTTGTCCAGCTTTGTCCATCAGTAACTGTATCAAAAAAAAATTTGTACTGTTTTCTTCTTTTGCTCCTAGTGCTGCCTTTGGCTTCTGTAATCAGATGAGTAATTCCAGGAATGTTCAGTTTGTTTTATGGTTGTGGCACTCCAGGAAAGCAGAGCAGCTCACCTGCCCCGCTCCACAGCCGATTCTAGCTGGGAGAGCTCCCAACATCTGTGTCTCTAACAAAAGGCCTACAAAAGCAAAATAAATCATTTTCTCTACCTCCATTTCTCCTGCACATTAAAGGCTGATCACCTAAAGTCACGATCCTGGCTCTGAATTGGGCTGCAGCATCTGATCTGATGGCACAAAGGGAGATCAATATCTGCCACTGTAAAAAAGTCAATGGAACATAAATTAGGAAAAGAATATTTTCTAACTCTGGCCCCAAGCAGTGACTGGTTGGGTGCAAGCCATACTTTTGGTCAATGAAAAGCAGAATACAGTTTCACTTAACAGCAGGGTAGACTATACTAGGATTATATTTTATACTGTTTCTACTTCCCTGTATTGATCTCCAAATAATGAATTGAAGCATGATGATCCTCTCTAAAGTTAAGTTTAGTACCAAAATGTCATCAGAAAGTTTCTAATGGTGGATACAGAGATAAGTGAAACTAGTTGAGGCATTAATAGTGCCAGCTCTGAGCACTGTGAGCACATGAGGTGCTCCTGGCCAGTCCCAAGACAGTCTTAGCTAATATCTTTAAGAACGTTTTAGGGTCGTAGTTCCCTTTGCTGCTGAAGAGCAAGCAAACTCCCTGTCTAGCCTTCCTTTGGCCATCATGCCTTTCTCCAACATGAGGTCCAAATTTTTACAATTTCCAGAATGGAAATAATTCCTTTTATCTGATAACAAAATGCAGGGCTAGGGGATGTAGTTCAGTGGTAGAGAACTTGTCTAGCAGCCATAAGGCCCCAGCGATGAAAAAAAGTAAAAAAAAAAAAAAAAATTAATGCAGATTTTTCTGGGGAAAATAGTTTAAGATGCCGATGAGATTAGAGGCAAACAAATCTCATCCACCCCACTGACACTCAGCAATTATAACTGATTACATTTTAGCACACCTATTTCCAGTGTTTTTAATTTTCTTTGTGCTCTCACATACACATATTTCAAAAGTGAGAATGTCATATTGATAGTGTGTGGTGTTTGTGGAAACTCAAAACATCCTCTTTTCCACCATTTTTGAATGGATTGAAAATTATTGACAAAGGTATAACACAAATGGATGTCAGAATGTCATAGTAATTACTGGTATCCATACTGGAGGGTGGTTTTATAACTATAGGCAAGAGAACTTCTGATTCTAAGACTCGTTATTGGAGGGACCTCCCCGTCTAGTCACAGGTATTGCTGGACTGTAGCTGTCTGTCTATATTGGGCAGGCTCCATTCAGACTGACAGCACTGCAAATGAAAAGAATCTAGACTCTGTTGATAGCTTACTCCATAGAAAACAAGAAGGTGGTCTATGCATATCATTTTTATTTTCAAACTCCGTATAAACTCCTTTCCTTGGGAAGACTGGGGGTAGAGGGTGGGATGTAATGCTAATAGGATTTTCTTTACCAGAAAGAGGGAAATATAAGCTCTCTATTCTTATAATCTGCTTTGTTTAATATAGCACATTTATCTTTATATCCTGTTATACTATATGCCTCTTTGGTTGAATGGAAAAAAAATGAAGACTGGTGTAAGATAAACTGTAGCAGAGAGGACAGTTATAGTAGAGAAATAGAAGAGCCGTGGAGATGGAGGGAAACCCTAGCTACTTAGCCCTCACAGGACACGAACTGAAGGAGTGCTAGGATTGTCTGTTCTCTGAGATCTCATAATGATGGATGGAGGAGGGCATAGCTCACTCACAGCATCCAAAATACCCTTTTCTCCCAATTTTTGA